AAGCAAAAGGCTGTTTGGGATGGGGGGGTGTCAGCCGGGTGCAGCTTTCTGGTTGCTCAGCAATTTTTACAGTGACTGAATGAATGACACACGCGGAAACCCATCACCATGCGTTAGAGTATCCAAACCAAACTGAGAATTCCATGCAACCCGCCTACACTTGGAAGTTTCCCTATGTCTGCAATGGATTGCGCACCCTTGCCCCCGAGGAACACATCCTGCTTACCTAATCCCAGAGTATTATGCGCAGGTTGGCAAGAACCAAGGCTTTGGGGATGTGAGAGTGTGCGTTGGGGTAACTGATGTCGTCATTGAAATTGCTGTCTGTCAAGCTTCACGCTGCTTATCCAGATGGCTCCTAATTGTGACCTTGTCCGGTGGAAAGCGGAATGTGGTGTTATTTTAGCGACAACCTTCTAAGGTGTAAACGGTTTCAAAAAAATTGTTTTAACTATTCACCATAACAACTTTCATTTACGTAGTGCCCTTCACATGGAATAAAGTGGTGGGGGGGGGGTGCGTTGGAGGACTGGCCTGTTGGCTGTTTTTAAGATTGCTGATGGATCTGAGGTTAAGTTTCAGAAAGTCCTGAAGTAAGTGAGGTCAGTCAGCTGTGAATCAGTGCACTTGCTGACTCCTTGTCAGAGGAAACAGGATGCTGAGTCCCATCCTGGCAAGCTCTCCGTATCCGGACTTGGCTTTCTGACTGTTGTCAGGACGCCGGAAACCATGTAATCTGGTTAACAGTTTAAATTCTGGGGATGTTTCCTTCCATTGGGGGCCGTTGGCCTCTGTGTTGCTGGGAGGTTAATCTGTTTTACCCACAAGATCGACTGCAAAAACAACTTTTTGCAAACCACAACGCACGCACTTCGAGCAGAGCTCAATGCCTGCTAAACTGCAGAGTCTGGAGATATTATGCAATTCTTTTGTGGTCAAGGTAGTAATGTTGGTGTATATTAGTTTTCACTTTACTAAATGTTGTTTATGATTATTATCAGTGAGTACATATGGGTGGGGGTGGATGTCAGATACACATTTGGGGAGGTTTGATCCCATTAACATGAGTAAACTAATTTATTGTATTTTGTCTCCAAGCAATTGAAAATAATTCCTGTAATTAGATCTGTTTTATGTGGACAATATCTTAAATGTTTCGTTTATTGCTAATAATGATCCCTGCATTTGATATAGTGCTTTATCATGTCGCCAAAATGTCCCAAAAAGCGCCTCACAAAGAAGTGTAGTGTAATATTTATAGGCGAAAATGACAAGACAATTTGAGGGATTACCATGATCTGTGCATGTTCAGTAAGTGTTCTGATGATGACAAATGTCAGATGTCAGGGAAGCCTATTGAAAACCACCTGATGTGACACGATGAGGTTGGCAAGGTTAACTCGACATGAGCCCTTCGAGTGACGAGTTATCCGGACCTTACTGTACATACAGTATTCACATATGTTGAGGTCTCACTGCTTGATGGTTTTTGGCAGCAACGCACTGGTCTTGTTCCAATGGTCTGTTGGTAACCTTAAGTCCTGCAATTCAAGCATATAGTACAAACAGTGAGTACCCATCTGCTTCAGGTTAGTTTGCTTTCCACAGGAGCCGTGTCTGCCAGCATGCGATACTAAATAGACTATGGGGCTGTCAGTCATTCTGTCATGTGAGGCAGTGGCTAGGGAGCAGTGTATTTAAACCTGGCTGTTACCATGATACCATCTCCCTTTTGTTCCCAAATCCGCTCCCGAGTATATTATAAAACCTTAATGTCTAGATATTGACCGGGAAACCGGGCTATCAGGAAAAGCAAGCCGCATCCTGTGGAAAGAAGTGGACGCTATCATATTTCTTGAGTGCTTCTCAAACAAAAAAGGCAACGTGAGCAAAGCGTATAGATGGGTAGAGAGATAAATCAATCAGAATTGTGTTGAAGTGGACATTTTCTTTATTGCTGCATCTAAGCTTTTGGTTGCACTTGGACCTGCAATGCGCAGAGTTTAGAAGCAACTCAATATGCAGTAATAATAATACTAATCCTTGTATTTGATGAGACATCTTATTTCGTGGTTGAGACGTCTCAAAGCACTGTCTTAACTCTTTCATTTTAAGGTTATTTCCCTCCTAATGAAAATGCAAAAACATCCCAGTGGATTTACACAGTGAGCCATATTGGAGTGAAATTCCTTAGTATTTTTGTTGTCAAATATTTCCATGAACACACATCATTCCCCAAGATAGGCGTCAGGCCTGGCTCAATTGCTAGCACTCTCGCCTCTGAGTCGGAAAGGTCAAGCCCCACATTGGGACTTTGAAGTCATATAGTCTAAAGATGATGACACGCACGATAGTGTTGGAGGAGCGCTGCATTGTTGCTTTAACATTTCGTCTTTCAGACAAAGTCTGCTCCTGTTTAGTTTGACGTTAAAGATCCCATGGCACTGTTTGAGAAGAGAAAATAGTTTTTCCCAGTGTCCTGACCAGCAATCCTCTGAATAAAATTGGTCACTCACTCCACGGTTGTTTTCGGGGAGTTGCTGTGTGCAAAATTGGCTGCTGTGTTTCGCCCACTAAATAAACAGTCACTGCATTTTACCGTATATCCTGTGAAGCGCTTTGTGACGTCTCACCAAAATGAAAGGCAGTATACCAAATGCAAGGATTTTAATTATTATTAAGATTGTATCCTGAAGTATGTTTCAAAGAGAGGACGAAGAGCTAGTACATAAACTGAGTTAAACTAAACTTAATTGGAAAAAAATGTTTTTATTTTAAACTAAGTGTGGCGATTGCTGAGTCAATGTGAAGTTTAAAATGTTTTTATTCAGCTTCGTGCGGGAGAAAAAGCCGGGACTGTGATCAATAATAGTAAGCTTGGCTTTTTACAAGATAGATTTCTTCTGTAGCTCGTGTTGTCTTTCAGGCCAGCAGCAGGGTCACATTCACAGAGCCGTGACCTGAGGACTTAAAGTAGATTGACCACGCCATTCTCCTAATGGGCCTTTGAAATCCTACCAGTATCTTTGAATCAGCTAAAGGGTTCGGGAAACAATTAACCCATTGTCCACTTTGAGTTTATAAATCATTTATTTAGTTATTCTGTCTGCTGGTTGGATAAAACCTGACTTTTAATGAAATATTGCCTTTAAAGTCATTGGCCTGCTCCACATCCCCCTTCCCACCCGCCCCATTATTGGCGGGAGAGCCTTCAGCCACTCTGCCCCCAACCTCTAGAATTCCATCCCCCAGTCACTCCGCCTCGCCCACTCCTTAGCCTCCTTCAAATCCTGCCTCAAAACCCTCCTCTTCGACCATGCCATCAGTCACCCCCCTTCCCCTCCCTTCTGCTTCCCTGACCCCAGCTCGGGTCTGAAATCCTCTCGACGTGAAAGGCACTATACAAATGTAATCTTTTTGTTGTTGTAGGAACATCCTGGGCCCAAACTCTGGCTTGTTCACTTTGAAGCCAATTGAAATGCAGTGTTTCTGTAGATCATTTTCTTTCTTTGCCTGAGTCTAACAGAAACCTATGGTTACGCATAAGGGTGTCCAAACCAAACTAGTGAGAGTTCCGCACGTGCCCAAAAAAATTCCATTTGTCTGGTATGGAGTGCGTTGGAGGCACGCATCCTGCTTGCCTAATCCAGAACGTTTAGACGCAAGTCCTCAAAAGCCAAAGCTTGGGGACCCCAGAGTGTGCGTTGGGGTACATTGGAAGCACTGGCAAGCTTTCGACGGCTTGTCCAGCTAGCACTTTGGGGCTTTTCCATGCAGGGTGAAGAGCACATTATGGTTCATAACATGCTTTTCGCCCTGCATGCTGAATGCTAGCTGGACAAGCAGTAGGAAGCTTGCCCAGTAATCGCGATGGCAGGCCTCACGGGTTTAGCAGATTTAAACCCCAGCCGTACCCCAATGCACACTCTGGGTTACCCAGTCCTTGATGTGATGTTGCATGCGGGTGAATTCATTACTTGCAAAGGGGCCCTAGTGATATACTTCAATCAGGCAGGCATCCAACCCTCTTCAGCTCTGAAAGGGCCGCATTTTCAGCACAACCCGGTTAATGAATCTAATTGAGTTGAATAAAAGGATTGTGTATGTGTTGAGTTTCTGAGCACACTTCCTGCATAGTGGGAACTTAGAGGGACGGTTAGAGAATGCGAAAAACATTGGACAATTGCTCTGGTGTCTTGGCTGCCGGGCGAACAGAAGTCATGAGTGAATCCCGCAGGTCGGGTCATCACAGTATCACAAGGAAGGGTCAGATGAAAAAGGCCTTTCAGCCCATTTGATCTCGTTCTTTCAGAGCACCCACCATTACAGCATCAAGCTGTTTCTTGAATGAGCCCATTGTCCTGTTCCAAATGGTGACCCATTCCAGTTGATTAAGCTACTTGGTGTTTGGCTTGCTATTGCCCTTCACAACTCTGAACGTGCGCCCTTTCGTCCTACTGCCTTGGTAAGTCTCAAAGCATCTTTGTACATTTAATTCCCTGTCTTAAAAAAAACGTGGTCACTCAATCCACGACTGTTTGTAGGACACCTCTGGGCGCAATTGGCTGCCGTGTTTCGCCCTCAAAATACACAGTCAATCCACTTTACAATATATATTCGGTGAAGCGCTTTGAGACGTCTCAACAATGCGCCTATCAAATGCAAGGATTATTATTATTATGATGATGTATTGGTCAAGAACAAGCGCAGATCTTAGTGAAACCAAGCAGAGCAGCATTGCAGGCTGGACCAGGAACACAGTGCCCAGGTCTCTCAGTGGTTGGGTCTCACCGACCCCCCCTTCAAGGGGCCCCTTAGGGTTGATCCATCTGTCGATGATGCCTTTGTGTCGGCTCACTTGAATCCCTCGAGGTGGCCACGTTAATTGGGATGTGTTGCTGCATGTGCTTCGATTGGGATTCGTTTTTGACGATAGGGCACTGCACTCATTTGAGATGCAGATCGTTCCCAAAATACGTCGGCAGCACTTTCCATGTTCAGCACAAATAGTCCTTGGCTGGTGTGGAGCTAAGTCCTTGTGCTGCCTCTGAAGCAGGATAAACGGGGAGGAGAAAGGAGGTTTCATAAACGCTGAGCTGAGCTGCCTATCATCTCATTCATTGTTGATCCTTCCAGGATTGAGCAGCCTCTCGAATGCTTCTTTGTGCGTCGGGAGCTTTGTGTTGGTGATGTGAGGACGAGTAAGTAAAAAAGCCTCCCCGGTGAGCTTTAAAGGTCTGAGCAAAAGTTAGAACCTGAAACTTAGGGTAAATTCTCTTTGTGTTAGTTCACTTGTTGTATATTTCCCATTGACTGTGAAATAACTTGTGGTAATGAATCCCAACACTTAGCACCTTATTTAACAGTTGAGGAAAATTGCTTCCTGAAACTGTTAGTGAACTGGCAGAGTGACTTGCTTAGTTTAGTGGCAGATCTAAAACCAAATCCGTCGTATATCTCAAATTATTCTAATATTCAAACTAACTGACATAGAAAGTTGTAAGTCGGTAGTAAACGGAGGAGTCCGATGGAGTTGAGTACTGCAGGCTGATTGAAGCTGGTTCAGTGGTTGAGAAATGGGCAGTGCAATGCCATAAAGGAGACGTGGGGGGATTAGCAGCGCTAAATTTGTTCTATCTTGAAAGCGTTCTCTCGGCAAAGCCACAAAGGTGGTCTCGGCGGCTCCTCACCATGCATCTGGTCCTCGAGACATCCCAGGACGCGATGTTCCAGCTGTTCCCGTACCTGACAACCAATACGGAAAGCACCCGGAATGCCGTGAATCGTGTGTAAGTTCAGACATCTTTTGATTGCGTTCCTGCAGTGTTGATAACACTCCTGGTGCTCTGAGACGCTATCCTGTGTGAGCAATGCAATATAACTAACTGCATGTTGTGGTTAACGTGTGGAGACTGGTGAATTGGGACGCAAACCTGTATTCTGTGAGGTTCCAAGTCACTTTGTGTCCTGGCTCAATGGTTATTATTATTAAAAAGTTATTATAAAGTAGACTTGTCGTGGCAGGAGATTCGGTAATCCAAACTCAGGATTCAGATTGAACGCCCGTTTAAAACACGGCAAGTGCCGTGAAATTACCTTGCTTTCAACTGTAAAGCGACTGAGCAGCAAAATGTTTCCTTCTCTGCAATCGCTCTTGCCAGGGGTAGCGTCTGCACAACCAGGCTCCTGCTCAGAGCTGCGCTGATTGACGACACATTAATAGATCGCCCAAGGTCTTTTAAGGGACCGCGTTAGTGACAGACTTGAGCACAGCCAAATCCAATCGCACCACCTACCGTTATAGTGCTGCGGTGAAAGGATAGCTGCTTTATAGCTGGTTTAGAGAGTCAATCAGCACAGGCACGGTGGGCCAAATGATTTCCTTCTGGGCTATAAATTCCTATGGTTTTCGGGTGTCGTCTCAAGGTAATTTCATTCACTGCCCAAAACGGTGAATTGCTGCACATTTCGTTCATTGTTCACCTACAAAACACACAATCACTGACTTCAATGACACTGTATCCTGTGAAGCTTTGAGACATCCTTCAGATGTGAAAAATACTATTTCAAATGTAAGCATTATTATTATTTGCACATTACACATTTCTATTGTATTTCCAGCTTACATGCTACAGGAAACGCACAGAGCAACAGAGAGTAACTAAGGTTTCCTCAAACCTCCTCAGTGAGATCACTCGGTGCTTAATAATTAAGTAAATGTTTGGCGCCAGACATAGCTTCTGATTTATGCTGTTAAACTTGTTAAACTGAGGCTGCTAACCTCCTGAAGTGGCCATAACTGGTTCGCTACCCTTTAATATAGACTTGGCACACGTTCCTGGTTCTTTGCTTGTTGTTTTCCTTTCTATCCCACTCTGTTGTTGTTCTCTCTCGCCCCCTTTCTCTCTCTATACATAGACAACACATTTCACTAACTCACTCAAACACATCACTCACATACATGCTCACTCGTTCACTTTCTCACAAAATATACAGTCAGTTCTCTTTACAGTATATTCTGCGAAATACTTTGAGACGTCTCAACGACGTGTTAAGGCGCTATATCAAATGCCGGGATTATTATTATAATAATTATTATTATTGTTAACTATTAATAAATGTGGTGCCTTTTAATATCTCCCATCTACTGGTTTCACCAGGGCGGCAGCCTCAAGTGGGCTTGTGTTGATCAGTAAAGATTGTAAAATATCGACAATGCCTGCATTTGCTCATGTATGTGGCAATGATTACCAATGGATGACAATTATTCCAGTCTGTGGATGTTAACAGTGCAACAGTACAAAACAAGAGAAATTTCAGGCTGCGGAACTATATAATGGAATCGCTGTAGACACTAGATACTGGCGTAGGTAGCGGTATTAATGGTGTTATTCTGTGTTCAGTACACTTCAGCTTTCCAGGCTTTGTTGTATTCTATCCCACTCCATTGTTGTTCTCTCTCTCACTCCTCCCCTCCCTACATAAAATCTAAGAAACCTACGTGTGCCACTCACTTAATTGCAACAGTTGAGATATTGAATGTTGTGTTTAGTGGTGGTTTGTCTGCAGGTAGAAGTGCTGTGTACAGAGGATCCCCGTGTGGGATGCACCTGAGCTCTCCAATGATTCATAGACAACAGTGCGTTTCACTTCTCTTACCCCCATCACACTCACACACACACACATACATGTGCGTGATAATCCTGATTTTTCTACAGTTCTGTAATTCTGACTGTCCTTGGTCCTCTTCCTTCTCAACCTCTTCTGAACCTGCTCCTTGATCTTCCTGGCTTCAGTAGATGCATCTGCGACATAGTCATCAGCACGTCAAGGTCACCAGGCAACAGGCGGTGTTTCCTTCTGTTCTCAGCCACGTTTCTATAGCTTCACATATCTCTGCCTTCCCTAAAGCCCAATATTCTTCGGTAGTTGAAAGGAACAAGAATTTGTTCTAAGACCCTCGATTGAAGCAGTTCATTGGCCCTTTGAAAACTAGATCAGGAGCCCTATTTTGTTGTTTTCGTGCTACTTTGAAATTGAAGTTGGCCAGCGTTTCTAACCAGCACTAAAGTAAAATATTGATTTGTGTAAAAGCTCTTTCTTGTTAGTGTGCCAACGCTTGATATCTAGATGTTTAATTTGATCTTCAGAGAGAGGCTAGGCATAAGGACATTTTGTAGTTGGATGTAATATGGTAATTCTAGAAACGTGTGCCCAAGAGAAATGGTAATTCCAAAAGCAACGTTGTGCTTAGCACATCAGCGTTCTTTGCCTCTCTGCAGATAACCCTTTCCCAATGTCAGGCATTCGATTGCATCAGGACTCTTGCCTTTTCAGGTATACGCTCAGTTTGGCACAACTGATAGCACTTTGAACCTTGTTTCAGAAGCTTGTGGGTTTGAGCCCCACATCTGGACTTGATTTCAGGCCCAATAGGGAGGAGGTAAAGTGCTGGGAAAGTAATCGGTGGTTGATTGGTTGGAAGAGAATTAATCTACGGTTTCTGAGATGTATCTGTGCCACTTCTGTTAGTTCCTGTCAATACTCCATTAATTCTATCTCTCTCTCTCTTTCAGTCTCAGTGACAGTTTCTTCACGGTTAAAGGCGCAGCACTGTTTCTTCAGCAAGGAAGCGGCCCACAGGTACCAAGATGTTACCACCACCACAAATATGCAGGTGAGCCACGCAGGAGCTGAGACTACGGGGAAATCTCCCCTACTGTGCGCCTTAGCTAAATACTGCTCGTCAATTATGGTTCTGCAATGCCTCTCTGCCAAAAAGATAAATAAATAATGACAAAATAATAATAATTCAGTCACTCAATCTACCACTGTTTGCGGGGACACTGCTGTGCGCAATTGGCTGCCGCGTTTCGCCCACAAAATATACAGTCAATTCACTTTACAGTGTATTCTGTGAAGCGCTTTGAGATGTCATCGAAGGCGTGATAGGACCCTATATCAAATGGGAGTATTATTAAAATTCACGAGAGGTATAAACAAGGTCGTTGAGCTGATTTGATCTCGCCCTTCCACCATAACACCTTCACAAGCTGTTTCTTAAATGATGTGCTTACGTCGCAGTGTGTGCGCCAGGAGGTACAAAGCAGTAATTCAATCAAGTGAGCTCTTGACTTTCTCAACCTCGATGGAGCTGCGTGTGTTTTTGTAATGAAGGAAGCCAGGATGTCACGATTGTGAATACAACCTTCAGTTCTATCCACTGCAGAATATAAATGGCCCTACTGCTCACTTCATTCCCCAAATCAGATTCCAGGTCCATGGAAATGTAAGCCTAACAATAGTCCTTCCATTTGGTCCAGCTCCTTTCACATTGGGAGGATGTCTCAAAGCACTTCACAGGATTTACTGTGAAGCGTAGTGACTGGATTTGTAGGTGAATGCAGCAGTCCAGTTGCGTGCAGTAGTGACCCACAAGAGATCGATAGATTTTTAAAAACTAAAGGGAATAAGGGGTATGGGGATGGATAGATAATGGGGTAAATGGAATTAGGTTAGAAGATCAGCCACAATCTTATTAAATGGCGGGGCAGGCTCGAGGGGCCGAATGGCCTACTCCTGCTCCTATTTCTTATGTTCTTAATGTGTATGAAAGTACTACAAGAAAGTTTAGAACCTTTATTGGTTCACAAGGGCAAGGCTGCTTCTAGAGATAAGAAACAACCATGCAGGGCAGGGTCTCAGAGCGCTTAGACCTCAACACGCCCCAACATTAAGAGGATTTCTAGCACTGGGATTTCCTGAGAAATTATTAGCGTCACGCACTTGTGACTTTTGCTTACCTACCAACCTGTCACTGATGTACTGCATGATATTTCATAATTTGCCACAAAAAAGTGCTTAAAGCAAATCAATATTCCAAGTAAGTGTTCTAGTCAGTTCTTTGATGATATCATACCTGTGTAATCTTGCTGTGATCTATCTCTCCCAGGCTTTACAGCACCAATTTGGGCCACTCTATAGTGGCTCTTCCTTTTGATCACAATTTCCTCCTAACTATTCTAGGCCAACCATAAAACCATCCTTGCTTGGCTCCCTATTGCCCAGCAGAGTGACTTTAAGATCCTCCATTCTATCTTTCAAATGCCTCTTCGTCCCTGCCCCATCCTACCTTTGTTAACTAAGTGCTCTGAGTCGCTACCCTGCGTGAAGGGTACTATATATATAAATGCAAGTTGTTGTTGTTGATCTGCAGATTTTCTTCTCTCCACTCCCTATAGCCCAGCATCCCATTAGCTTTGGTTTATTGCTACCTCACACTGTTTGGCCATGTTGAAGGACTTATATTGGCCATCAGTGCTTAACAAATCTAGTCTCTTGACTTTTTAAGAGCCCTAGAGTGTAGTTAATTTGTCATGGAAGATTGTTGATGTCAAGCCCTGGAACCTATCTAAGACCTCTCAGTAACTCATAATAAAAAGTTCTTAAATCGAGGACTGTTTGTCGGACACTGCTCTGTGCAATTGGCTGCTGTGTTTCATCCACAATATGCACAGTCAATCCATTATACAGTATATCCTGTGAAGCGCTTTGAGACAGTCTCAGTGACCTGGTAAGGCGCTATATCAAATGCAAGGATTATTATTATTATTAATAATTTGAGTCCCAGAACTCACCCAACTTGTGCTGAGAGGATGTGGGCCATCAGGTTGTTATTTCTCTCTCACCTACTCGTGGAAATTCCAGAGATAGATTGATGGAATGGAATGCGAGCGCTCTCCCTGGAGGGACGCATCCTGCTTACCTTACCTAATTCCAGAAAATATTAGGTGCAGTTTGGTAAGAGCCAAGGCTTGGGGGAGCCCAGTGTGTGCGTTGGGGTAACTGCTGGAGCCTAAGCAGCTAAAACTGCATGTTAAAAAAGTTGAGAGAAACCTACTGCTTTTAAACCTTAAACTTTTAAACTGTTTATCTGGGAACAGCCTAAATTCTTCATCTTGTTCAGAACAGCACATGTTATTGCTGTCAGAAGTTTAATTGATGAGCAGTGATGCTGAGTCCTGGCCATTACTGTTGGCAGATTGTGGCTTAAAACAGCTTCCCCAGCCAAGGTGCTGTTATTCAGAGGTTTTTGCAGTGCAAATGAGATAAAACGGGGACAAGGAGAGACTGTACAGTCCCTCTAACAATGTTCTAACTCAAGTACTGTGCTTTAGTACTGGTCTATTAATGTGCTCTGCAGCACATGGCTTATAAGGGAAAAATTAATGCTAAATGTGGAGTCGTTCGATTCCTGGGCAGGGCGAAACCTTAGGCAATTTCCTTACTCCACACAATGCAAAGATTATTATAATAATAGCCAATAATAATAATAATCCTTGCATTTGATACAGCGCCTTATCGCGTCATTGGGACGTCTCAGCGCTTGGTTCACAGAATATACTGTAAAGTGGAGTGACTGTGTATTTTGTGGGCGAAACGCGGGAGCCAATTCCAATTGCAAAGATGTAAAATTGATCATTCACTTCACGGCTGTTTGTGGGACATTGCTGCGCGCAAAAGTGGCTGCCATGTTCACCTACAAATGCAGCAATTGATGTTGAGCTCCTTTCCGTGGTTGTGATGGTATTTTTATTGTTGTACTGCAGGAGATCTCCAGCTGCACCTCCAGGTGATGATAAACCATCTCCGCTCGGAGGACAGGATCAAGCTGGTAAGTGAAAACAATTGACTGTTACCAGGCAGTGAGGGGAGGTGGTGGAGCCCTGAATCAAAGCTCTCTTTTTTGTCATACCACATTTGGCTCACAAAATACTCAGTCAATCCACTTTACAGTCTATTCTGTGAAGAGCTTTGAGACCTCTCAACGACCTGATAAGGCGCTGTATCAGATGCAAGGATTATTATTACTATGTCCCTAACTACCCTTACATCTTGAGTATCCCTTTCAAACATCGCAAATGGATGCTGCTTCGACGGTCGTCTGTGATAGTGCATTCCACATCCTCTTTGTATGAAGAGATATTTCCTGATGTTTTGTCACCTTTAACTGGTTTAACTCTAAATCAGAGGAGCGTGTATTGAGCTTGGCATGTCCCTTATTTTAAATCTCTTGGATTGTGTTTGCAGGCTGTGCGCTTGGAGAGTACGTGGGCTAATCGAATCCGGTACATGGTAGTTGTGTATACAAGCGGACACCAAGATACAGAGGAGAATGTACTACTAGGGATGGACTTTTCAGCCAAGGAGAGGTATGTAGAGTGCAGGCATGTTGGGGGAACGGGGAACGGAAAGGGCGCAGGGGTGGGAGTGGACTGCATTGTTGGAGGTTCCGTCATTTAGATGAGAAGTTAAGCCAATTCGCCTACAAACAGTCACTGCACTTCAGTGAAAATTCCTGTGGCAACCCAATGGCCTGGAAGTTGACCATTTGACTTTGCACACCGTCTCACAGAATTTAGCAGCCAGCTAGTTTGCTCACATCAATTAGTTTTGGAAGGTTAAGGCGCTCTGGGAAGCTTCCCTCCGTGAAGGACGCTATATAAATGCTTGTTGTTGTTGCTGTTGTTTGTGTAAATGTATTGGTGTGGTTTTACATGCTCTGAACACGTGTCTTTCATGACGTCACGTTACTGAACCAGTGTTGAAATGTTTTCCTTCTCCCAAGTAACACGTGCACTATAGGGATGGTGCTTCCTCTCTGGAGTGACACGACGATTCATTTGGACGGAGACGGGTAAGTTACTGGATTGCTTTTCTATCCTAAAGTACGAAGAAAAATTTGCCAGGATTAATATTGATGATAATGCGCTATAAACAGGGCACTCCCATTTAATTGCATATCGGATAATTTAGCCAAGATCATTCGTGGATAGCGGACGTACACATTGGGGTTCCTCTAGTCTGACAGCACAGGAGCTGCAGAGGAGAATGGTAACGTACGGAATTCTAAGCCTTAACCATCACCAATACCGGTCACAGGAACTCCAATTGGAGTATGTGTGTTCCAAGTACTTCTCCCTAAATTTACACTAAGGAAACTAACTACCTCCGGTGTTTTCTATGTGCTACTGACTTCTGTGTAGTATGTTACACTAACCTCCGTTTTCTTCAGTGGGTTCAGTGTGAGTACTGCAAGCCGTATCCACATCTTCAAGCCCGTCTCCGTGCAAGCCATGTGGTAAGTGCTGAACTCTGTTGCCCATTGTGGTTCTTGTGGTAGATTTAATACTTCTATAGCCTTTCGGGCTGTGTTAGCGCAGTGGCTGAGGGTGGTTGCTTGCTTACGTTCCTTGCAGGTCAGCACTGCAGATTCTGCACAAGTCCTGCGAGATCGCACGCCGCTACAATTACTACCCATCGGGCATTGCCTTGACCTGGACCAGTTATTATGAAAGCTGCATCAGCTCTGACCAAAGTTGTATTAATGAATGGAACGCGATGAAAGACCTGCAGTCCACACGGCCTGACTCACCTGCTCTCTTCGTCGATAAGTGAGTAAAGCTTCCACCTCGTCTTTTGGGTGGGCTTGGGGGGGTTTAGGGGAGAGGTTGGCTGAGATTTCATGTCCTCAGTGCTCCTTAACAGCAGGTTTCACTGAACTTATCTCACACGTGGTAACCCATCATCGTGCTTAAGAGAATCCAAACAAAACCGAGAATTCCAGGAATCCCACCTACACATTGAAATCCCAGAGATAGATCGTTGGAATGGAATGCGCTCTCTTTCGTTCTCTCTCTCTCTCTTTCCCTGGAGGGACTTGTCCTGCTAACCTTATTCCGGAACGTATTAGGCTCAGTTTGGCAAGAGCCATTGAATTGGCAAGCTTTCCCGCTGCTCGTCCAGCTAGGACGGCCTTACCCCTTAGTAAGTGCTTTGGTTAGCAGGATTAACAGGAGCTGAGTGGGATGACTCGTTGCCCCAAAGTGCCTGGTTGGTAATGAGACAGATCTGTGTATTTCTTTGCAGACCAACTGAGAATGAATTGACCGAGCGGCTAATAAAAACCAAGCTACGATGTTTAATGATGAGCAGGGATTTGGAGAACGTCACCTCTAAGGAGGTAAGGCATTTGCAATAGTTTGAGGCGAAAATCCCATTGATACTGGGGGAAGAAATACTTTGAAGGGATTCAGATCATTTTTACTTTAGTTGCAACCGTATGATTTACTGCAGTAGATAACGTACAATAACACCTTGCAACTGTTGTGACTAAATGTGTGCCATAAAGAAACGCATTATAACACGGCAGCGTTTGCATTTTGTATTTTTTTATATAACTGTCTATACTTATCGGTGTATTCCTGCCTTTTATACAGATTCGGAATGAGCTGGAACAGCAGATGACCTGTAATCTGAAGGAGTACAAAGGGTTTATTGACAATGAAATGCTGACTATTCTAGGGCAAATGGACAAAGCTTCGCTCATATTTGATCATCTTTATCTGGTAACGTTTCCCCCATTTGTGTGCGTGTGTGTGTGTTGTGCTCCAGCTCTTTGATCACAGGGTGCTGTGGGATTCTTTAAACACCGGTGAACTTGCCTAAATACAGTGAACAATTGTGCGTCGCTCTCAACCGTCCCACCCCCACGCACTGCAGGATTGACCGTTGATCCGCGTTCCTTGCAAATGATTGCTTGTGCGGGACATTGCTGTGTGCAAATTGGCTGCCTCGTTCACTTACAAAATTCATGGTCACCAAATCCTACAGGAAAATTATGATTCTATGAAAATTTGGTAAAATGCTTGGAGACATGAATGGCACTGTATGAAATCAAAGATGATTATAGGATCCCAAACTATGTAAGTACCAGATTGTTGGGGATTTGAAGTGAATGACCAGTTTTATCAGGGGGATTTGTTGGTCAGGGCATCGGGGGGGTGGGGGGCGCTGAGGGGGGGAGATACAGTGAAAGCTCACAGTCACTATTTGTAAACGATTATGGCAGCCATGCACTGAAATAATAATAATTCTTATATAGCGCTTTTCACATTAAATAGACGTCTCAAAGCTCCTCACCTTTACTGTAAAGTGCAATGACTGTGTTTTGTGGGCGAATGCGGCAACCAATTCCTCATATCCCACAAACAACAAAGTGATTAACCAAAGTGTCATTTATAAGGAATATGGAAACATGTTTTTTTATATATCCTAGGAAATTAGCTAAAAGTGCGGAGGGATGAAGGTTTCTCTCGCACCAGATGTCTCTCTCTCTCTCCCCCATTTATTTTTGTTCATCGGGGACTGGTTCCGTGTTTCTGAAACAAAATCGAAAGCGAATCCTATTTTGAAATGCCTTCGGTAATGTAGTAGCAACAGATGTTGGACTCCCCAGCGCACGAGGCAAAAATGATTTCACGAGCGAAGGAACCGCTAAGTTGTTGACTCGCACGCACGATTGAGGCTTCGAAGGAACTGGCAACGGTTGCGGTCCTTAGCGAGACCATTTTGTGAGGCGAGTCTGTGTTTATCACCACCTTATCCTGATGTCTGCCCACATCTGGGGTTTTAGAAGCAGCCGAAGGGTTGATGGGCCGGGAGAATGACCAGATTAATTGCGAGCCGCGTGACAGAGCTAGACGAGTTTTGGTTACGGCTGCGGGTTTGGTTCCCAGTCGTTGCTGACACAATGCGTCAGCCCAAAAATAAGCGATGAGCGTCCGCAAACATTAATTACAGCGAGGCAGACTGTAATTGGCCACCTTTGGGATTAACTTTCATGGTTTTTGCTGACAGATCGACTCGTGCTGCATCTGATCTGAATTGCTAATACATATTCAACGACTTCAATTAGCCTATTGCTGAAGGCAGCGTTCAGTTTGCAGGGTTCTGCTTTGCTTTTTCCTTGTGTTAATGACGACTGATAAATTATGATAATCCGTGCATTTGATATTGCGCCTTATCACGTCGTTGAGACGCCTCAAAGCTCTTCACAGAGTATATTGCGAAGTGAATTGACTGTGTATTTTGTAGGTGAAGCGCGGCAGCCAATTGATTGACCAAAATTTTTTAGGGGAGGTTGTGTGTGTGTGTGTGTGTGTGTGAGAGAGAGAATCTGTCAGGGTGCACAATTTCTCAGTACAGTGCTGCTCATCCTCTCCTGCCTGTGCCATGCTTGGTTTAACAACAATAATAATAATCCCTGCATTTGATACCGTGCCTTATTATGCCGTTGAGATGTCTTAAAGCGCTTCACAGGATATACTGTAAAGTGCAGTGACTGTGTATTTTGTGGGCGAGACTTGGCAGCCAGTGTCCCACAAACAGCCATGGAGCGAGTGAAATAATTTTATTTTATAATCCCAATTCACTACTATTTTGCTCCAGCTGCAAGCAGCTTTATTTACTGCATTCCCTGTTACAAAACCCAAGTTGATGTGCATCTCCAGCATCAGCCTTAAATAAGTGAATGGTGTGGAAGCTCTGGAATACTGCAGTGTGGCATTTATATAGCAGAACATCTCAGCAACAACTTGCACTTACGTATACAGTGCTCTTCACATAGGATAAAGTCTCTGAGCGCTTCACAGTGACACATCTCAAGTGTTTTACATACGTGGAAAGGGTATGTTCATTGTATTCATTGCCATTTTAGGGTTCAGAGTGGAACGCATCAAATCTGGAGGAGCTTCAGGGAGCAGGGTGAGTACTCATAATAATAGTCCTTGCACTTGATATAGGACATTATCACATTGCCGTTGAGACATTTCAAAGCGCTTCGCAGGATACACAGTGTAAAGTGTAGTGACTATTTTTTGTAGGCGAACGATTTTCACTATAGCATGTAGTGCCTGCATATTTTGCGGACAAACTCATAAAATCTCATGAGATAAAGAACTTTGTAGTACCAGAACAGATCCTAAATTTCTTATATTAATGGAAAATTTCTCCAAAAACCTCTCACAGTTTTAAATGTTGAAAGAATCGTTACTCTTACCTTTTGTCACCTGTTGTTTTTGTTAGACTCCGAACGGCTTGTATTGAAGGTGATTCCCTGACTGTGTTGTTGGGCTCTTGCAGTGTCGGCTACATCTTGAACGTAACGAGAGAGATTGATAACTTCTTCTCTGGATTATTTGATTATCACAACATTCGGGTCTTTGACGAGGATACGACAGACCTACTCTCGTTTTGGAACGACACGTATAACTTCATCACAAAAGCCAAGTGAGTCGAAAAATACTTTCAGCTATAAAACAAATATTTGGCCAAAAAAATGCCCTCTTTGCACATAGATAAAGCCGTCCATAAATTATTATTAATAATAAGCCTTGCATTTGATATAGCTCCTTATCACGTCTTCGAGACGTCTCACAGCGCTTCACAGGATATGCTGTAAAATGGATTGACTGCGTATTTTGCGGCAGCCATTTGCGCACAGCGGTGTCCCACAAACAGTCGTGGTTCCTTGCTTTTCTAGGAAAAATCACTCCAAGTGTCTGGTCCATTGCAAAATGGGGGTTAGCCGCTCTGCCTCCACAGTCATCGCTTATGCCATGAAGGAGTACGGCTGGTCGCTGGAGAGAGCCTACAAGTATGTGAAGGAGAAGCGAAGTATTGCACAGCCCAACACGGGGTTCATGAAACAACTGGCGGAATATGAAGGCATTTTAGATGCCAGGTAACTAATCCCTGGCGCTGAGCGAGGCCGAACACAGTCGCAAATTAAATTGTACGTTACTTTTATTTTGGTTTATTTTGGGCTCTTAACCAGCTGAAACTGCCTTAGCTTACCATTGATAACGCTGTCTGGTAAGCTTTGCAACTGAAACCACCGCCGAGAATCATTAACATGTTCTATTTTAACGCTTAATATCGCTTTCCGAAGAGCGCCCCCACACCCACACCCCAACCATGGATGAGTAAACACCCCATCTCCCCCCCCACCCCGCGCACACGCGGTTGTACCCAAAGCGGTTTATAAGTGGGAGTTAGGGGACGTCTCCCCAAAACAGCACTGAAATACTGGGACCCGTTTGTGGTGAGCTGAATGGCTAACCATTCAAAGAGAGTCTGGGGTCTGCTTGTGAGGGTGTGGAAGCAGGTGGGCCCACAGTGTGCGGAGCTCTTTCGGTCCGCAGCGTCCTCACCTTTTGTCTTTCTCTCTTCTCTTTCTTCCGAGCAGTAAACAGCGACATAACAGCCTGTGGCGACGCAACTCCGACGGCGACTTACAGGAGACGGTGAGAGACGGCACGTTCTCAAGCGGGAGGTCGTTGTCGAACCAGGACGACGAGAGCAGCGGTGACCCAGAGACTCCGCAGACGTGTGGGAAGCAGATCTCTGAGCCGCCTCGCAGGCAGGGCTTGGCGAAGGATCCGACCCAAGCGGTGAACTCCAACTACTACTTCAGGTGCCTGTCGGACCCCAGCGTAGACGGGAGTTCTTACACCGAGGGGCCGAAGGAGTCCGAGCCCTTCTCGGACTGCATCGACAAGGGGGAGCGAGACGCGCTGCGGGTGGATAATGTGGGTTTTCGGTACAAAGGAGACGGCATCCCCGAGTCAAGGGTCATTCGGTCGCCTCAGCCCTGGGACACTTACGAAGGTGAAGAGAGAATGCGGAGCCACCAGGGAATCAGCTACCAGCCGTTCCGAGCGGTGGAGGAGCCGGAGGAGAACAAGAACACGCTCGGACTTGGGGTGAAGCACACGGAGGAGGACAAGGCCCTGGCCAACGGGCCCAGCCCCGGACATGCGTCGGGGACCAATGAGAGCCTGGCGAACGTACAGGAAGCGAGCACCAACGTCGAGAATCAGCTGAACAAAGACAATGCCAACAACAACAACAACGCTGCCAGAATCTGTTCGAAGGGGGATGGAGTAAGTACTGATACAAAAGGACCCTCAGCCCTGAGACGCCTTCCAACCCCTCTTATCCTGATTCCCCGTTAACGCTGCTGTGAAACCGTAAAGGTACCACTGTAAATACCTGCCATCGTAAAGATATATAATATATACATACACGCAATGTGAGTTTCCTAACATTTTCGGGTTACATTCTAACTTAATGGCAGTTTGATACCAGTTCCGCCCGGGTTTAGAAACTCCGACTCGTTGCAAGTAAATTTCCCGTCTCACAACACACTTGCCTTGTCTTTCTCCGCCAAACGTATTCAGACGCATTAAATGCCCTGTTATCTGCACTAATGTCTACATTCTCCACATTTCGCCGTGGTGACCGAGGCTTGGACCTCGCACAAGCCACATATTGTTTATTCCAATAACCTTCAGGGGATAAATTGGTGCTAAAAGAGTTAAAGTAAATTGTAAACTCCCAGTGTATGCTCTGATTGCCTAACTTCCAGGAGTCTATCAATGTCATTGTCCACTACCAGTCTGTCTCTCCGGTCGTTCACAACCCTCCAGAATCTGCGGAGCAAACGCATTGATTGTCCCTGCCCGAGTCTGTGACTCACTGGGAAGTTTTGGTGGAAATCCTGGACAGAATCAGGATGAAGGCAAAAGACGTCGCAATGCGTTTCTAAACTTGATTCAACAGAAAGTGCTTAAACACGCACACGTCCAGGGCACCAAATAAATCAAGCGCACAGTTGCACGCGGTTTCATTTGCAATGAAAGTCATCTCTGTTCTCTGCGAAACGGAGTCTGCATGGTCCACCGTCCATCCCCAGATCCTAAGGGGTGAGGCCTCACAGCACAAATCTATCTTGATTCAATAATAACTGAATTGAATGGTTTCTATACTAAACTGTATGTGTGACAAAGGTTCAGCAGAGGGAGCTCTGCTGGGGTTAAGGACAGAGCACAGGGAGCTTTATGCCTCGTGTTATCTCTATGATATCTCACCTGTGCCTGCTGACGCTGACTCAAAGTCAGTCAGATACACTGCCTAATGCTGACTCAACTGATGGCTCAAAGGGCATTTTGCAGCATTATAAACCACATTCAACTTGAACACAAAATCCCACCCCCAATAGTGCCAGAAAACTACCACTTATTCATATTTAAAACCTTTTTTTTTAACAAAACAAAAGAGCAACAAGGAACCTTGTGCATATTTACCAGATGGGTGGAAATTATTTACTAGGGATAAATAGTTCAGTGAATCTCTTAAGGTGCCGTCCTTGATTTGCGTAATACTGAGAGTGACTTTTGTTACTGGGTTGTGCAATGTGTCCTTTGGAAAGAATAAAGAATCTGTCTGGCATCATAGTCCATTTATGTTTCTGTCTGTGGGTGGCTACTCTCAAAGAGGTTTCCTTCGATAGCAGACGGCTTTTATTCTTCATTGGATGAGTCTCATGTCTCAAAATGGGGAGTAATGCGATCACAATGGATTTCTTCTCTTTTCCCCTCTTTTCTCTGCTCCAGTTCTCTGCCTCTTTTCTCTTCCTCTCATGGAAGCAGCGGCTCGCACTGGCTTTGTAGTGGAGTCCTGTAGTGTAGTGGTTAGTGAGTTCGCCTTGCAAGCGAGAGGACCCAGGTTTGATTCCCGGGTGGGATGAAACTTCAGGCAAGTTTCCTTACTCCACACGCCTCTGTTTACCCGGCAGTAAGTAGGAATCCGTAAAAATCCCTCAAAAGAAAATTGCGTTATTCAATCCACGACTGTTTGTGGGACATGCTGTGGGACATTAGCTGCCACGTTTCGCCCATAAAACAGTCAGTCCACTTTACAAAATACATTCTATGAAGCGCTTTGAGACGTCTCAATGAGTTGATAAGGTGCTATATCAAATGCAAGGACTTATTATACCAACATGACTGAGAAAAAGCCATTAGTATAACGGACACGATGTATTAGGGGTGCCACTGCCACTAATGTTAACCCTGTACACCTAAAAGTACTTAAAATAAAATGTAAATACAATTCCGTTCCATCTCTGCTTCCCTTACATCGCCTTCATTCCCCAATTTTCTGTTATATTTCTCACCAAAAATAATCTGTCCATTCACTCTTGTTTTTAATCTAATTTCACATGCACTTTACTTACCTTCTTTGCTCTATTCCCCAGATTCCATCTACTTTGGAGGTGGGATCCGCATTGAAAAACTTAAATCTATCTGTCTGTTAACGGGCTCCATACACTCATTTTTTTCAAGCGGTCAATTGTGTATTATTGTTTGATGTGTTTAAAGTGTTCAAGAGTAAGAGATAGTGACACCAGCACTGGCAACTTATTCTTGCCCCCATAACTCGCCTGTGGATCTGAAGGCATTAAAGGAGGAGAGAGCGGGTGCATTTCCATTGAAGACCACTGCAAATTGCCAGCACGGCTTATAATAATACTAATAATCTTTGCGTTTGATGTAATGCTTTATCATGTCATTGAGACGTCTCAAAACGCTACACAGGATGTATTGCAAATGTTGAGGCTGTATGATCAAGAGTTTCAAGAATGTTTCTACGCCACACTAAACCTTGTTGATCCACTCACCTAACATACTTATAAACTGTTTCAACTTATACACTGTTTGACTATGGTTCCTAGACTTCCAAACTTCCCAGACTTGGGATGTGCACTGAATAGTAAGTTGCCATGTGCTAGATTTCAGTCTGACAGTCAAGCTGGTGTTACATTGACTTACTTACCTAAGTCTGGCTGATTGTCTCAATTCCTAATGTGAGGAATAGCATCCTACCATTTCAGCTCTCCTCGATGGAACAAAGCCATTCTTCAGACTTGTTATCATACAGCTGTTCTTACTTGGTACAAAAATCAGCATCCAGGTGTTAGATGACAATTCCAGCGCTCCCAACGGCATTAGAGAGTTACACACCACGTGACATTCAATACAGTAAAACTCGCATAAGTCTGAACTGTATAAATCGTATAATCGCACAAGCCGTACATCTGCCCAAGGCCCGTTCAGGAGTTTATATTCCATGCAAGTTTGACATAACTCCTACTTTGCATAAGTCATATTAAATATATGGTCCCAACTCGTATGACTTATGTGAGGTTTACTGTAACAAATTACATTTGTGTTGCGCCTTTCCCGTCGGGAGGACGTTCCAAATCAACTGTGAGCTGCAGTAGGAGCACTGGAATGGTATCCAGGAATGGGAAGGGCATCCCAAGGGCTGTGACGCCCTCTACAGGCAAGTAACCTGTCGACATTCGTGAACGATGGCGGCTTGGGATGGGGTACTGGAGTCAGCCAGAGGCTATGGAACCACATCCCAGTAAGAGGAGCAGAGAGGCACAAGGCAGTGGGGAGACGATGAGAAAAAATATATATGGACGCACTCATTCTTGTTTTAAATAAATGGAATTTGAAGACCTTTAAATCCGATTTATTCATAGAACCGAAACACTGTTTTCTTACCCTCTTAATGTGAATTCCCTTTCATATTATTAAAATGTAACCGTTTTTGATGTATTTCCAGGATGTCAATATTACTGGAAGCTCTCCACAGTGTGACACCTCCCTGTACCTTTCTAATGGACGGTTTGGAATCCACAAATGACTCTCCTGTGAGTCTGGACCAGGAACAGACTGGCACAGAGCAGGCCGTAGTGCCTGAGTCAGACAGCTTGGGATATTTATCAGATGTAACTTTAGACGTGCCCATGACCGAGTTATTTTCTGGGACTCCTAGCGAGGCAGAGATTTGCCAAGTGACCGAAGAACCTGTTGGAAGCTTCGATGCCAGTTGCACGACTGAAACGGATTTGAGTCCTTTACACGAAACTGAGGAGGTAATGGACTCGGATGTGGGTTTAGCAACACACAGTGAGGGACAAGGAGAGGGTCAGGAAACCACGGAGACTCTTGAGTCCTGTGAAATTCTGTCCAATTCCACTCATTCGCTCAGTACTGAAACTGAAACTTTGACGGGTGACATGATGAGTTCACAGGTGGATGCAGCACAAGATTTGGAACAAATACAATTACTTGGACCAGAAGTGGAGATATGTGACTGTCCAACAGGTTTCGAGGCTAGCGAGCAGGTGCAAGTTTCTGAAACCCAACAGGCAGAACAAGTAGAGTATGACTTGCATCAATCTGACAAGGAGGTCGACCCAACAGGGAGCAAAGAGGAAAACTCAGCAGAGGTAAATGAGGACACCCCGTTTGCACTTTCTGAGCCTTCGAATGGACAGTTGGTGGAGGACAATCATAAGGTGCCTCGAGTTTGTTGCAACGAAGGGAAGAACGCCAAGCAGATGATATACAACCAGGAGATGGAAAGATCTAAAGTTCAGAGCTACTTGATGCAGCATCAAGAGTCTATCCTTCAGCTGCAGAAGGCTGGGTTGGTGAGGAAACACACCAAAGAACTAGAAAGACTAACCTATTTGAGGTCCTCAAGCAAACGAGAAGCCTCAGAAACTAAGAGAGGTACTTACGTCAAGGACGAGGCTATAGATTTGTTTGCCCAGGATCCTGTGGCAGACATTCAGGACCAAGCTCAATCCTATGAGGATGTTGAGAACAATGTGGTTCCTGAGGCTAATTTTGAAGATTACCCTTTGACGGACGGGGTGTACCAGAAGACCTCGACACCTTGTATCAGCGGCAGGAGCGGGACAGGATTTCTCACCAAGGAACGCCTACAGCAAATCTGTGCCACGCTGATAACGTCCCCCCACGCTACGAGCTTGACTCGCAGTTCCAGCAGCGACAGCATACACAGCATCCGAGGGCAGCCTGGTCTGGTGGAGCTGCGGACACAGGAGATCGAGGCCAGGATGCGCCAGGCGGGACTGACCGTTTGCTCCGAGATGAAGCGATCTCATTCCCTCGCCAAGCTCGCCAGCCTCAACCTGTCCAGCGAAGACCTCTCCCGGGAGAAAGAGGCCGAGAACCTGATGCTCAAGTCAAGCCACGTCAAGCTGGCTGAGAGTTTGCTGTTGCACAATGTCGTTGAGCGGATGTGTTGGAACACAAACCTCCACAGAGAGATGGAGATACAAACCGGTCAGCTCTCACCTGTCAAGCCACTGAACCAATCGATCGAGTTATCGGGTTCTGTGGCGGAGCACAAACTCCTCAACTTGCCTGATATTCAATACTCGGATCAAACCGAACATCTCTGCAGCACCTTTTCCCCCACCAAATGTTCAGCTCCAGACTCCGACGGCACAGGCCAGTGCATGGACTTTATCTCTGTCCCTTCCTTCGGCCTCAACCAATTCCACACTCAGAGCGACAACGAGCTCTACCCCTTGACTGCCCGGGGACACCATGGCAGGACACATCCCGTGCGGAAACTGAGAAAGACGTGCGAGAGAAAGAGAACTAGCAACCCTTTCTATAACACCATGTGATAACTCGACCAGGAGAACACGAGACTCCAGGCTTCCCCCCCACCAACGTTAGCACCTCAAGCCAAAAACATTGTGTTGAGTTTCTGAGAGAAAAAAATGCACAATCTTGCAATAGCCACTCAGCGAATAACCTTCCTTGGCAGATGCCTGTTACTTTGCTTATTTTAGACTGGACCTAACTTGTGTTCTCAAATAGTGTGAGCTCCCATTCTCCTTCCCCCACCCCCCCCCCAATAAATCTCACACAGTCTGTGAAGGACTTTTTTTTATATATGGAAAGAAAAATGCCCAATTTGGCCTATGGAACCGTACTCCAGTGTGTGAGACAGACAGAGCCTTCCAGAATGGTGTTAACGTCACGTCTGCGATGGAAATACGTGACTTGATTTCGGGAGACTTGCAGTTACTTTCATTCTTCATTTTTTTTTTTGCGGGGGTGGGGGAGGGGAGGGTTTTTTTTTCAAGGGGAGAATAATTGGTTGATTGCTATTTACTGTGGATTTTTACCACATTTGGCAAAATTGAATATTCAAAACAATGTGATCTGTCTGTCCAAAACAGGGCAGCTTTACAGAGATGCATTCTGTAAATAATTCCCTCCCTATGGTCATTCCCCTGGTGCTGATGTAATGTAGGACGTTGCTTCTGGTTAGAGAAGGCTTGTAACCGTCGTGATACACTCTCCTGTTCCAAACTCTTCTCGGGGGGGAAAAAAGGGGATCGACTGTTCATATAAAGTGTAGGTATCGGATTCCAGTGCTTTGCTTATCATTTCATTGGTGGACTCTGTGATGTTTTATTGCTGATGATTCTGAACTGTAATGATATTGTCTTCACTGAACTAGCTTGACCCGACCGGCTCTGTGTTTTTCTGTAGTTTATTCACCCTCTCTCCATAAAATTGCCAAGGACCAGACTGTTCTTCTCCTGTTTATGTCCCTCTGCTCAGACTGTTCTGTGCTCGCTATTCACGCATGATTTATTTGTTGCTCGGAATCGTGAGTAAATGATGTATTTTGAGGATGACGTCTTGTACAACGACCCCCCACTCCCCAGCACATCTTCAGTCACTAAGGAGTGAAACCTAAGGCAAGTTTCCTTACTCCACACACGCGCCTCTTTTTACCAAGTAAGTAGGAAGCCAGTTGGTCGATTAGCGGATCGCTTTCCAGGGGTAATAATCTCTCCAAAAGGATAAGAATAATAATTTGGTCACTCAATCCACGGCTGTTTGTGGGATGCTGCTGTGCGCAATTGGCTGCCGCATTTCCCCCACAAGATACAGTCACTGCACTTTACAGCATATTCTGTGAAGCGCTTTGAGACATCTCAATCTGTGAAAAGGCGCTGTATTAATATTGGCAACGGAATGGCGGCCTCTGGTCCGGTTCCTGAGCCAGGCGGGTCCCAGTATTCAAGGCACTGCTGATGACAGCACGGCTCAGCCTGGCTCATCAGCAGGACTTGGAATAACAGACCCAAAAAATAGAGCTTTTATAAATCAGATTGAACGACTGGGATATTTCCAATCCTGTCCCAAGACTTACTGAGAGTGTTCTATAGAGGCTATACTGTCCCTCAAATGACTTACACACTGAAAGCTGCCAATCTCTCTCCCATGTTACATCCTTGCTTAGCAGTGAGTGCAGTTTGTATTTCCCTGTAACCTGGATGGCCGGAGGGAGGGAGGGAGGGGGCTATAGCATTGCTCTCTTCCAAGAACAAATTCACACAAGTTTGAAGGCAGCAAAAGTAAATCATCATCCGTTTAAAAAAAAACAGTGAGAAACTCTGAAAATGCAACTGTGACTTTATCACGATCCTTTTTATTACCAGGTAACTGTTTTAATCGTGTTAAGTATCGTAGCCCACGTGTAAAACACAGTCAGCTATTCCTCACTAGACCCTGAGGTTGTGGTGAGAGAGTCTGTGTAAGTGTACAGTCCAGATGGGTGGTAGCGAGCCATGTTAGGGAGAAAGATGGACAAACTGCCGTGAAAGTTGTGCTTGGAATTTATATGAAAGTGTGGCTTTTTAAGTGTTTCTTTTTTCTGTTTTGTTTGTACCGATCTACTTCAGTGCCTTTATTATGTATGCATGATGGTCATTGAGGCTTGCTATTGGAGCGCATTGTACAGAGCCAAACTCAGCAAATGCCAGAATTCCTGCGAGGAAGTGGTTTCACACCCACACACACTGACTGACCCCTTATGTCTGCTGTAAATTCCCGCTTTTACGTTAACTTATAGTCTAACTTAATTTTGTTGTATTTAAAAAGACAGTAACTTTTTACCGTGAACCTGCAGTTAGCTGTTGGCGTATTGCACTTTTTTTTACATTTTGTTAAGAGTGTTCTGTATGTCGGAAATAAATGGGCTCTTTTTCACTAAACCTGCTGTTTCCAATTGATGTCCTAACCTGAAATGTTTTCCTTGCTTTTAATTGCACGGGAGGATTTCACAAGCTTACCACTGGTCACTAATTAAATCTGCGCGCCTTACTGTCTATAATATCAATAATAATCCTTGCATTTGATCCACCCAGACCTGTCTGGTCATTGGACTCCAGTCTGCTCCACCCTCCCTCAACAACAACAATAAATTGCATTTATATAGCATCTTTCTTTGCTGAAGCATCTCCGAATGCCCCATAATCCAGGGTGAGGTGGTCACCTTCTAAACCGTTACCAACCTGTCCGCTCCCTCCACTCGGTGGGCAATAACCTGCTCCCATGTCTCCCTCCCTGATATGAGAGGACGGAGGAGATGAAACAAGCTGCCAGCCGTGCATTTCGCCTCCTCACTCCATCCATGTTACAGAAGATGTCAGACTGAACCTAGCGATGGTTCTTTATCTGCCACGAAAACAACAGCGCTCGCACACACTGATTTTATATGTTTTTTAAAAAAGGCTTAAAAAACTAAGGCTTCATTTGAGAATTTGCCAAATTCTGGATACTCTGAAAAGCTAAGAAAATAGTACCTCCAGACCTGGGTGGGATTTCCCTCTATATTCCAAATGAGCACAAATTGGGCTGTTGCATTTGCCCACAAATCACAGAGTCGCTACACTATACAGGATATCGTGTGAAGCACCTTGGGATGTGCTGCTGACATGAAAGGTGGTGTCTCTCTCACACTCTTATCGCACTCCCTCTCTCCATTTATTATCCTGGTATCCTGGCCAATAAATCCCCTAAATAAAATTGGTCACTCGCTCCATGGCTCTTCATTGGACATTGCTGTGTGCAACTGGCTGCTGCATTCACCTACTAAAGTACACAGTCACTGCACTTTACATGATATCTTGTGAAGCGCTTTGAGACAAAATGGCGTGATGAGGCGCTAGAATTAAATGCAAGGATTATTATTATTGTGGGTGATAATGACTCCTGATCAGGACTTTGGTTTAATGCATAAAATTTTTCCCCCTTGTGTTGTGTAACTGAACTCACATGATGTTGGGGGGAGGGAAGAGGAGCAAAATACATACACAAGTGCATTGTGAAACAAACCCACATCAAAGTGACCAGTGATTGAATGCTGTCTCCAGGGGAGGGATTGGCAGACAACGTAATGAATCCTAACCTCAGTGGGAGCCTGGATGAGTTTATTCTGCCTGACGTAAGCTTTTTGAAGGGCTGAATCACAGAGTGGAGACTAAAATACCATTTTTATATATAGTGCTAACCCGTCCCTTTGTTCAATCGAGTTCCAGGATGTCGTGCCCTGAGAGAAACACTGGGGTCCCTGTACAACAGGGGCTCAGTGAAATGCTTTCTCCTGCAGTCTGTCCGTGCTTCAGATGAGATGTTAAACCGAGGTCCCGTCTGGCTGTTTGAGTGGCCATTAAAGCGTTCTCGCCACTGAGCCAGAAGGTTATGGGGTTCAAGCCCCACATTGGAACTTGGAATCACCTGGTCTGAACTGACACTAATGCAGTGTTGGGCGGTGTTGCATTGTCACAGGTGCCGTCCTTCGGATGAGACACTAAACCAGGTCCTATCTGCCTGTTCAGGTGGACTTTAAACCTCCTATGGCACTTATACGTATTCGAAAATAAAATAACTCACTATGGCTGTTTGTGTGACATTACTGGCTCCTGTGTTTTGCCCAGAAAATATACAGTCAATCCACTTTACAATATGTCCTGTGAATCACTTTGAGACATCTTGACAATGTGATAAGGCACTATATCAAATGCAAGGATTATGACTTATTATTGTGATGTAGACATTGTCCGGTGAATGCAACTGAGCCAGCGGTGACCACTCTATATGGAGGCTTGGACAACAGTGGATCCGTTCAGCACAGAATTGGCAAAGCCGAGAACAAGGGCTGAAACTGCAGAGCAAATCATGAGATCAATTTGAAACTCAACATAGTGTTTATACTCAGAACTACCTCCGAGAGATGTAGATGGAGAGAAGGGGGAGGTTGCAATTCAGCAATTAATTCTGCTGATCAATCAGCTGGGAACTGGTTCTAATCATGTGCTGAAAGTGGTTCTTGTGAGGTTTGTTGCTGAGCTGTTTGTTGGTGGGTGAAACTCAGTCCTTTCCTGACTGAAGGCAGAATGAGCTTTTCAGCTTATTATAAACATGAGATGATTTCAATGAATTTATAGTTCTCTATTTTGGGCAGTGTTTGATGGTGCTCTGGGACGCGATGTAAGCCAAGCTGTTGTTGTTGACTGGGAAGGAGCTTGGATAACATTCTGTTGTGTAGAGCGGTGGCAAAAGGATCAGCTGCTTTGGGAGAGACGATGAGGTGCAACTCTTACAGATTCACTGTTAAGGCCGTGTTCTTTAGCAATCAGGATTGCACTTACAGGGGGGAGCTGTACGTCTATTTATGTTTGGGCGGTTGAGGTGATAAGGATAAGGTGGAGTCGGTCCTGTAGTGTAGTGGTTAGTGTGCTTGCCTCGCAAGGGAAAGGACCCGGATTTTATTCCCGGGAGAGGCTTGTGGTGGGGTGTTTCCTGAGCTGGTGAGGTACCAACCTTTGTTACTGTATTAAAGGCAGGAGAGACCAGGGCAGCGCTGCACAGCAGAATGATCTAAGTCCAAGGAACTCATTACGTACATTGTTGTATGAAGTGGAGGTCAGTGATCAAGATAAGTGGATTATGGCACTGCGTTGCACAGCATCAGTCAGAGAGGCTTATTCCTGTCTGTCTGCCTGCTTCCAAACTACTTATATTTTACTTGTTACCGAAAGCTGATCAGGATCGAGAACGGGGAACTTTAAATAGTGGGTTGGTTTGTAGGAAGAAGGTGCTGTCCTGAGGGACGTGAGCAGCTGGTTCTTTAATAATAATAATAATAATCCTTGCATTTGATATAGCGCTTTTCACGTCGGGAGGACGTCCCAAAGCGCTTCACAGAACACACTGTAAAGTGAATTGACTGTATATTTGTGGGCGAACGCGGCAGCCAATTGCGCACAGCAATGTCTCACAAACAGTCGTAGATTGAAAATGACCAATTTAATTATTGTTTTTTTTTTCTCTTTTGAACGCTCTGTGGTGGGTGGACTGTCTCTGGTCAGAAGTCACATTGCGTTACTCAGCTGAGATTCAGGTGAAGCAGCCAATCTGGATTTCTAGTTCAGTTTCTCATTAATCTATTACGTCGCCAAGGAGGTTAATCAAAGGCTTGAGCAGTGTTGTAAGGTTCCTAATGGTGCCACTTTGAAAGGGACAGTGGCCTGGCTCTACCACAAATGGACTCTTTTTAAATTGCTTATTTATAAATAGATA